TCCTGTGCTGATAGCGGGAGACAGGACCTGCTAGATCCCCTGACTCAAACACCCCCCATCCCACCCCACGCCCTTCTCCATCCCCAGCCTGGTTTCCTGTAAGATTGACAACCAGACCATCAAGCTCCTCACCTCCAGCTTCACGCGCTGCCCTGCCCTGGAAGTAATCTTGTGAGTGATTGGAAGAGTCCTGAGCTGGCTGGGAAAAGGAAAAGTGGGGAGGGGTGGGGGGAGTCAGCCCCAGCCTGCTGTGTGGCCTGGAGCTGCTCCCATCCTCTCTGGCCAGTCCTCCCATTTGTAAATGGGGAAGATCATTCTTGCTCAGACATCCTCTCAAAGACATTTTAACACGGGAGCTGCAGGTGATGTTGGGTAAAACAGTTTACCTTCTCCTGCCTTTTTCCCTATTTGCAGAGTGGTGGGAGGGGAGGTGGGCCAGGTGGTCTCTGAAGGTTTTTGGTCCAACCTTTCTTTTGGGAGGCAATTGGATAGACCACCTTGTCTGCTTGATGAAACCTCCATTTATGAACCACAGTTGGTAGTGAACAGTGGCTAAAGGCAGAAGAAAGCCACTCCCAGACCTGCTGGCTGGCTGGCTGTGCTTGGTTGTGTCTTAGCAATCAGAATCCCCCAGATCTTGGGGCCTTGCAGTGCTGCCTCATGGGTAAACTAGAATTCTAGGACTAGCCTGGGACCCTAACCATGGTATGGAGGACACAGCTGTTTCCTGAAGAACAGGACACAAGTGATTACAAGATTATTTTAGTTTGCATCCTAAAGATCTTAACCCTTCTCATTACACCAAAGAGAAAGTCTCAGATCAGTGCTAATTTATCTTTAACACCTAACACAGGATTCTCCCTTTTTAACCAAAAGGGTTAAAAACCCAACATCTTGGCCGGGCGCGGTGGCTCACGCCTGTAATCCCAGCACTTTGGGAGGCCGAGGCGGGCGGATCACAAGGTCAGGAGATCGAGACCACGGTGAAACCCCGTCTCTACTAAATACAAAAAATTAGCCGGGCGCGGTTGTGGGCGCCTGTAGTCCCAGCTACTCGGGAGGCTGAGGCAGGAGAATGGCGTGAACCCGGGAGGCGGAGCTTGCAGTGAGCTGAGATCGCGCCACTGCACTCCAGCCTGGGCGACAGAGCGAGACTCCGTCTCAAAAAAAAAAAAAAAAAAAAACCAACATCTTAGGAAGGGCATATGTTCCAACTAGAAGTTAATACCATTGTTTGTACTATATTTATTTTTGTAACTACCTTCTATATGGGGTCTGTAACACAAGTTTTCCATTGATAGTAGTAATAAATGTTTCCTTTTAAGATTAATTTTATTTATTTATTTATTTTTTTTTTTGAGACAGGGTCTCCCTCTGTTGCCCAGGCTGGAGTGCAGTGGTGCAATCTCGGCTCACTGCAACCTCCACCTGCCGGGTTCAAGAGATTCTCCTGCCTCAGCCTCCTGAGTAGCTGGGATTACAAGTGCCCACCACCACACCCAGCTAATTTTTGTCTTTTTAGTAGAGACAGGATTTCACCATGTTGGTTAGGCTTGTCTCAAACTCCTGACCTCAGGTGATCCAACCGCCTTGGCCTCCCAAAGTACTGGGATTACAGGCGTGAGCCACCACGCCCAGCCAAGATGAATTTTTTAAAGTAAGAAAAAAGAGGGGGCCGATTTAAAGAAAAATATGATGCATCCTAAATACAGGAGGTGCATGTGTGTGGCAAAAATGGCAACATCATGTGAATGTCATGATCCAAACTTGACGGGGAGGGGAGCAGGGAGGAAGGTAACCTGCACCCTGGTGTCTTCAGGGGAGGACACACAAGCACCCTATCAGGTGGCCTCTCTTGAAAACCCTTGCCCCCACGATTGGCCCCCTGCTCTCCCCACTCACTGCCTTGTCTCCGCCCCTCGACCTCCTTGCTCTCCTGCTGCTGACTTTGGGACCCCTACCCTGCAGGCTGTCCTGGAATCTCCTCGGGGATGAGGCGGCTGCCGAGCTGGCCCAGGTTCTGCCGCAGATGGGCCGGCTGAAGAGAGTGGAGTATGAGGGGCCGGGGAGGAATGGGGTGGGCTGAAGGGGGACCTACCTCCCGGGAACACCAAGAGGCCACCGGGGTCAGTCCCCCACCTCCCAGAAAGCCCTTCCTTGAGTTGCACGCTCTGGTCTGTTCCAAGCCCCTGCCAGGCTTAGTTCCCCCTGGGTTCTAGCCTTCAGCCTTCCTGCTGCACCCACCACAAGTCCCTGTTGTCTTTTGGGTTCTCTGAGAAGGTAGTGTGGGAGACTGTGTCCCCCTACCTTGGCCTGAGGAAGGGACCTGGGAAACCCTCACACCCATTCTCATGACCGTGTCTCTCTTTCCCCTCCCCTCTCCGTCCACTGGGAAGCCTGGAGAAGAATCAGATCACAGCTTTTGGGGCCTGGCTCCTGGCTGAAGGACTGGCCCAGGGGTCTAGCATCCAAGTCATCCGGTAACAGAGGCCTGCAGGGGCAGGGATGGTGGGTGGGAGGCTACACCAACCCCCAGATCTAATGGGACTCCCTGGAGGGAGGCGGCAGGGCCTGGGTTGGGGATTATCAAAGGAGACTTGGACCACTCCACCAAGAATTTGGCAGCAAGCAGACTTGGATCAAATCCCAGCTCTGCCACTTGCCAATTGTGTAACTTTGTAGCCGTAACTCACCCTCTCTGAACCCCAATTTTCTCATCTATGAAATGGGGATACTGATGGTATCTACCTCAGAGAGTTGTAAGGACTAAACGAGCATATAAAGCACTGAACCCAATGCCTGGCACATGGTAAGCACTTAAAATAGTAACTATAATCAGAGCCATCACATACAGTTGTATAGGTTGTGCACTGCATGAGAGCATTAAACCTAAGAGGCACCATTCACATTGTCAACCTGCTGGATTTCTAGCAGATGAGAGTAAAGTGACTCGTTCTACCAAAATCATATATTATGACAATTTCAGACAGATGGCAGTAAAACATCTTGAAGAAAGAGGGCCTTTTCCTTATTTGCACAAATGTGTCATATGAGTGTGGTCTTAGCTGGCATCACTATCTCCCAGGGAGGAAGGTTGAGTTGGAGAACTCAGGAGGCAGGTGTAGAGGACACCCTCTCCCTAGGTCAGCTGGTCTAACTCCTGCCTCTGCCAGGTAACTCTGGGCACAGCTCTACCTTTTTGGGCCTCAGCCTCCCAATCTGCAGATAGGACAAAGGACAGAGATGGGAGGATGAACGAGTGCCTATATCTGTGCCCCACAGCCTCTGGAATAACCCCATTCCCTGTGACATGGCCCAGCGCCTGAAGAGCCAGGAGCCCAGGCTGGACTTCGCCTTCTTTGACAACCAGTCCCAGGCCCCTTGGGGTACTTGATGGCCCCCTCAAGACCTTTGGAATCCAGCCAAGTGATGCACCCAAGTGATCCACCCTTCACCCACTGGGATAAATGACTCAGGAGAAAAGAGCCTCAGCAGGGTGCTCTGCACTCCACCCAGGAGGAAGGATACGTGTGTCCTGCTGCAGTCCTCAGGGAGAACTTTTCTGGGAACGAGAAGCCGGATCTGGCCAAAGGAGTATCCTGCTTTACATGTAATATGTGTGATCAACTGGGGACATGCGGCACACAATGAGGGTGTCATGATAATGCATGACACGTAAGGTTGTATGAGGCAGCATGACCCCTTGACATGTGGTGTTACATGAAACTCCGTGTGATGCATGTTCAATGGCATGGGTCCTGGCATCCCAAGTGGCAGGATACATGATTGTGGATCCATATAGGACACATGACAAATGTCCATGCCACAGGACTCGTGGCTGGCCAGATGACCTCAGGCTGGCCCAAGATCTAATTTATTAATTTTTGAAGCAAATACGTATTTATAGATTGCATGTGTGGAGCAGCTAGGTCAGGAAAAGTCTTCTGCGCGAGCTGGGAGGGGAGAGTGTCCATGCACTGACCAGTCCAGGAGCCCAAGGGCCAGGACTCTGGGACAAGCTGGGGACTTAGCCATGAAGTCCCCTCCTGCCTCATTCCTCAGCCTACCCATCTGTAAACTTGATGACCTCTCCCTTACTTACATACTAGCTTCCAAGGACAGGTGGAGGTAGGGCCAGCCTGGCCTTGGGAGTGGAGAAGCCCAGTCTGTCCCGTGTAAGGGACAAAGCCAGGTCTAACAGTACTGGGTGGGGGGCACTGCCAAGACAATAGGCTAGGCTAGTGGGTCCAGCTATTACCTTGGTGGGATTCAGGTGAGCCTCCAGGCACTCCACATGTTACCCAGTGTTCTTGTTACTTCCAAGGAGAACCAAGAATGGTTCTGTCACACTCGAAGCCAAGTTTGATCAATAAACGTGATGGTCTTCCACCTCTAGCCTGAGTCCGATGTTTCCTGCTACTCCACTGAAGTCAGAAGTGGTTCACCCCCTGCCCTGGGGACTGGACAGCAGTGCAGACAACAGAGAGGTGTGTTGAATGGAGCACTGGCCTGGGAGTCAGGAGACATGGGTTCCCAGCTCAGACCTTTTCTCTAGTCATGTGGTCATGGGCAAGTTACCTCCTCTCTCCAGACCTCGCCTGCAACATGAGGGTGTTATGGAAGCTCAGCATGTTAAAAGCATTTTTTGTTTGACTTGCATAACATTGAAACAACTTTCTGAACTCATTGTCAGTATTTAAAATTGGGAATTTTACATAAAAATTCAGATTCTGCCGGGCGCGGTGGCTCAAGCCTGTAATCCCAGCACTTTGGGAGGCCGAGGCGGGTAGATCACGAGGTCAGGAGATTGAGACCATCCTGGCTAACATGGTGAAACCCCGTCTCTACTAAAAATACAAAAAACTAGCCGGGCGTGGTGGCGGGCGCCTGTAGTCCCAGCTACTCGGAGGCTGAGGCGGGAGAATGGCGTGAACCCGGGAGGTGGAGCTTGCAGTGAGCCGAGATCGCGCCACTGCACTCCAGCCTGGGCGACAGAGCGAGACTCCGTCTCAAAAAAAAAAAAAAAATTCAGATTCTGGCTGCTTTTAAGTGCTAATCCAGCACTCCCACTAAAGAGTCACATGACTGTGCTTTTTAGATGCACACACATCCCTCAGCTTGCTGCAGTCCTCACCGCTCCCCATTGTCTTGACACCCCACCTGACCCCACTTTTTGCTGTTCTTTGACCCTGGCCTGGAGAGTTTGCATGGGGATGTTGTACCAGAGGAACATGGCTTTGGAAGTCAGACAGGCATGGAACAGAAGGTGACTTAACCCTTTGCTACCTGTCTATGAGGTACGTGGGTTAGCAGCCACCCCGCAACAAACACACACACACACACACACACACACACACACACACACACACACACACACACATCAAGACTGCTGGAGAAGTCAGGAAAGCAAGACGAAGAAAGTTACTGGCAAAAAAAAAAAAAGTTAAGTACTGGTTCCATCCTAGTTCTCCTCTCTTTTTATAGCCAAATATCATACGACGTGAAGAGATGCCCCAAATGACAGATCAGCATCCTCTCTCCCTCCTGTAGTTAAAACAAGTTGATTTAGGAGGAGCCTCCCACCTCATTGTGAAAAAACAGGTCGGGAGGGTGCAGTTACAGCTGAGCACCACTGGAGGGCAGGCTAGCCCACTGGCGATTCATGCGACAACTTCCTTCACTGTGGGACCCAGAAGGAAGTTAGGAGGTGATGCTAGGGCCTGTTCCCACCTGGCCTAGTAGCTTGGGATGTCCCCGCCTACCAGTGGCTCACCTGGATGGCTTGGCCTTGACCTTTGCAGCCCTCCAGGTTGTTCCCGAACCCCTCCAAGCATGAGGAGAAAGTCCTCCGGCCGAGTGCCAAGCACCCATACCTCACACAGGGCCACCCTTACCGGGCCACGGTCAGGGCACACCTAGCAGCAAATTGGCCCGTCTGCCTGGTCATGGGGGAGAAAGTAGGCAGGAAGAGGATCCAAGAAGTTTACCAGGCAATCCTGGGCCCGAAATTCTGTCTCCCTTTCCTGGGACATGATGCCAAGTTGACCTTGGCCTTCAGTGTGCCCAAGATCACCTTCACACTACAGGGGTTGCATTTCCTCCCCTCCTTGCCCAAGAATGAAGGATGAGTCCCTCAAAGCCTGGAAATGGCTTGGCAGGGGAGCCAAGGCTGAGGAAGGAGCAGAGGGTACCAACCAGAGGCACCTGGCCATGGGGGACAGGGGACCCCGGAGCTCAAGGACACTATTTTCATTTGCTGCATAGCCATTTTACTTTTCTCTTCTGCTTTTTCCCCCTTCATATCTGCCCAAATTCTACACTCCAAGAAACTTTCAGCAGCTTCCCTGAAATAAACCACAGTATTGCCGGCACTGCAGAGCTGGCTGGGCCTACATCAAGTTGGTGTGAAATCGCCTTGTTCATTTTATTAAGAAACTTCCTGTCTTGCAAAACTTCCTCTCTTGCCACCTGCCTGCTTGGAGGTCTTAACTGGTTTTTCGTTTGTTTGCTTGTCTTGTTTTTGTTTTTGTTTTTGTTTTTGAGATGGAGTCTCGCTCTGTCACCCAGGCTGGAGTGCAGTGCTGCAATTTGGGCCCACTGCAACTCCACCTCCTGGGTTCAAGCAATTCTCCCACCTCAGCCTCCCAAGTAGCTGGGATTACAGATGTTCGCCACCACGCCTGGCTAATTTTTGTATTTTTAGTACAGATGGAGTTTCACTATGTTGGTCAGGCTGGTCTGGAACTCCTGACCTCAAGTGATCCACCTGCCTTGGCCTCCCAAAGTGCTGGGATTACAGGCATGAGCCACCATACCCGGCCTGTTTTTCTATCCAACACGGATAGAGTATAACCTCCCTGCCCCCTTCTTCCCCAAAGTAGGCTCAGTTTAAATATATACATGAAAACAAATAAAATTCAAAGAAAAGCAAGGTTATGGGGTGTCAAGCAGGATGATCCAATGGAAGCTCCCCATCTCTGCGTGTGAGCCCTCGCACTGAGAATGCGATCAGGCTGGTAAGTACCCGTGTCTATCTGCAAGACTGGGAAAATCTCCTTTTGCTACTTTGTCTCTCAGCCTCCATCTTATAATTGTACAAATTGAATGTTCATCTTTCTTTTTTATTTTTATTTATCATTATTATTTTATTTTTCCTTAAGTTATTAGGATACAGGTGGTGTTTGGTTATATGAGTAAGTTCTTTAGTGGTGATTCGTGAGATTTTGGTACACCCAGTGCCCAAGCAGTATACACTACACCATATTTGTAATCTTTTTTTTTTTTTTTTAATTTATTTTTTAAGACGGAGTCTTGCACTCTCGCACTCTCACCCAGGCTGGAGTGCAGTGTCGCGATCTCGGCTCACTGCAAGCTCCACCTCCCGGGTTCACACCATTCTCCCGCCTCAGCCTCCCAAGGAGCTGGGATTACAGGCGCCCGCCACCACGCCTGGCTAATTTTTTTGTATTTTTAGTAGAGACAGGGTTTCACCATGTTAGCCAGGATGGTCTCAATCTCCTGACCTCGTGATCTGCCCACCTCAGCCTCCCAAAGTGCTGGGATTACAGGCGTGAGCCTCCGCGCCGGGCCATATTTGTAATCTTTTATCCCTCACCCCTCTCCCACTCTTCCCCACAAGTCCCCAAAGACCATTGTGTCTGAATGTCCATCTTTCTGATGGGAGTCACAGACTCCCCTTTCACTTCCTTCACACGCCTCAGGTGCTGTCAAATTGCCTCCTCTATCCTTCCGCTAAAGACACACACCTGTCCAGCCAGTGGTTCCCAAGCTGTAAAACTGCAGTTATAGAAATTGTAAGGGTGTCAGGATCTTGTCACCATGCAGATTCTGGTTCAGCAAGTCTGGGGCAGGGCCTGAGATTCTGCATTCCTAAGAAGCCTCCAAGTGATGGCCGTGTTGCTGGGCCATACTTAGCTTAGAAGACTGTAGATGAAAGGATCGCAAGCCTGACTGCACATTAGAATCACCTGGGAAGCTTTTAAAAATCACTATTTTTAAAAGGAGTATTTGGGCTGAGTGCAGTGGCTCACACTTATAATCCCAGCACTTTGGGAGGCTGAGGCAGGAGGATCACTTGAACTCAGGAGTTTGAGACCAGCCTGGGCAAAATGGTGAAACCTTGTCTCTACAAAATAAAATAAAATAAAATAAAATAAAATAAAATAAAATAAAATAAAATAAAATAAAATAAAAAACACACACAAAAATTAGCCAGACGTGGTGACGTGCACCTGTAGTCCCAGCTACTCGGGGTATGGGGAGTGGGGTGGGGTGCTGAAGTAGGAGGATCACTTGAGTCCAGGAGGTGGAGGCTGCAGTGAGCCAAGATCATGCCACTGCATTCCAGCCTGGAGGACAGAGCAAGACTCTGTCTTGGGGGAAAAAAAGAGTATTTAGAAAGCTCCCTGAGTGATTCTAGTGTGCAGCCGCAGTGGAGACCCACTGGTCTGGAGTATGCCATCTCTTGGAGAGGCTGGGCAAGCCTTTGCACCTGTACTCCTTATTTTGTCCTGAGGATCCCATGACCCTCCCTCTCCAGAGAGGGACACTAACTCCAGAGACTTTTCCTAACTTTTCTAAAGGTACAAAGCTGGTAACTGGTGGCACCAGGAATCAAACCCGGGTCACTCCTGTGACACCCACATGGGCTACCCCAGTTTTCTCATCTGTATAGTAAGGGGATGAGCAAAAGGAGGTTAGGCATGAGGACCTATGTTCTTCGGCTGCAAAGATGACCCTTATGGCTCATTTCTGCACTCCCTTGGGGAGAGCTCTGGATCCTCAGCCACCTGCCCTACCTGGTTATCTCTGTAGAGCATCACCATCTGTGATATACTCTAGGCCCAACAATCCCAGCAACCACCTCCTCTGTTTCACAAATGAGGAAACCAAGACGCAGAGAGAGAACATGACTTGCCTAAGGTCACACAGTGAGTATTTAGTGGGGCTCTGACTCCAACTCTGGAACAAAAGGAAAGGGTGACCTTGGGGTGGTCCTGGGCTGGAGATTTAACTGGCCTGCATGTCTGTGTGCTCCCTGGAGAGAGAGGGGCCCTCAGGAAGGCAGGAGGACCGTGTACCCTTCTTGGGCTCTGCTTCTGCCCCCAACCCTACACTTCATGGCCAAAGCTAGGCCTGAGGACCTGCGGCCCCACTAGAGAAGGACATGCACTCTGGGCACATCCAGAGCTTCCAGGAAAGACCGTTCAGTGGCTGGTTTGGTAAAGATCATCTCATCCCGGGGCAAGGCTCAGGAAGTTCCAGGGACTGCTGGTCTTTGTCCTGCCTCCCAGTCACCCCAGTGAAGAACCCTCCCCTTGGCCCTCGGAAGCCACACCTGGTGGCTCATCCCATACACACCCCAACCCTGCCCTAGCTGCCCAGAAAGAGACCTTTGCCCTGGGAAGGAGGGAACGGTAGAGGAGCTTTCCCTGGGGAGGAAAGGCCAACTGGGGTCCCCTGGGTTAGGAGCCTGGGGCCAGAGGCATCAGTGGTCCTCACGGGACCCTTAGTCCTCCACCTACCGGCCCCCCACACACACACCCACACATACTCCAGCACAGGGTGAGAGCTGAGGGAGGTGTCTGGGACTGTCTGGAAGGGCTGGAGAGGTCCGGATATCCTGATCCTAGAAAGGGACCGTCCTTGCATCAGAGTGACCACAACCCTGGAACTTAAAAAATAGCAATTATATGGCCGGGTGCGGTGGCTCACACCTGTAATCCCAGCACTTTGGGAGGCTGAGGCGGGCGGATCACGAGGTCAGGAGATCGAGACCATCCTGGCCAACACAGTGAAACCCCATCTCTACTAAAAATACAAAAAATTAGCCAGGTGTGGTGGCGGGCGCCTGTAGTCCCAGCTACTCAGGAGGCTGAGGCAGGAGAATGGTGTGAACCCAGGAGGCAGAGCTTGCAGTGAGCTGAGATCGTGCCACTGCACTTCAGCCTGGGCGACACAGAGAGACTCCATCTCAAAAAAAAATAGCAATTATACACCAGCCCTGGTGTCTACACTTGCCTGGCACGTTACAATCTCACTGAATCCTGTCTCATTGGATTCTCACAACCATCCCATAAAACAAATACTGTCTATCCTATTTTACAGAGAAGGAGAGCGAGGCCCAGAGGATTGAGTGATTTCACCCAGGGAGCCTCTGAGCAGCTGGGATTCAAACTTATGGCCATGACTCCATGCCTGAGGTTTGATGCTGGAGTCAGCCACACCTGCCTCTAACCAGGAGATCCTTGAGGGGATCCCTCAAGGATCCTGATATGTTTCCGTATCAACCCCCTGTGGCAGATGCTATTTTCTAAAGACAGCCATCACGCTACCTTCCATCCCACATGCTCTTCCTACTATGTGACGGTGACACCCCTCTGTGACTACAACAGAAGTGACATTATGTGACTCCCAAGGCAAGGGCCTGAAACAGACGATAACGCTTCCACTTGCTTCTGTGCAAATGCTCACTCATGGAACCCTGTGCCATGCCACTAGGAAGCCAGGCTACAAGGAATGGTCACACGTAGGTGTTCCAGCTGACAATTCCAGCTGAGGTTCCAGTGTCCAGTGCCGGCCATATGTTCAAGAAAGCCTTCTAGACAATTTCAGCCACCACCATGATCTGACTGCAACTGTATGGGAAACGCTGCACAAGACCTGCCCTCGATGAGCCCTGAGGACCCCGAGAGTGTGAGGGATAAGTTTTGGGGTGATCTGTGATGCAACATAAATAACTGGAACACCCTCCCTCCCCCACCCCTCACACACCCCTGGCCCAGCCAGATCCCTAAACAGCTGGAGCTCCTTCAATGTGTCTTTCATTCACAAGCACACTGATGTGCACAGGCAAACCTGGGTATTCTGATTCGTTTTTCCAAACAGCTTGGACTGTGAAAATAAACACCCCGATGGCAGGTGTTGACACACATACCCTGACATGGGTCTATTTCGGGGCCTGTAGGCCCTCCCACTGTGCACCGAGAGGCCTCCACCTGGGCAGGGAAAGACTTCGTTTAACATTTTGCAGTCTTGTGTTGGGTGTAGAATGAAGATAAAGCACGTAGAATCAACCTGTGACGGATGCTTGGCCTTAATCAACTGCCTCGGGGCTCTCCTGATCCCTGGCCTTCTTTTTTAAAGATAGCTTTATTGGGACATAATCCATACACCATGACCTTTGTCCTTTTAAAGTATGCAAGTCAGTGGTTTTGAGCACATCTACAGTTGTGCAATCATTACTATAATCTAACCTTTTTTTTGACAGGGTCTTGTTCTGTCACCCTGGCTGGAGTGCAGTGGTGTGATCACTGCTCACCACAGCCTCAACCTCCTAAGCAACCTTCCCACCTCAGCCTCCTAACTGGGACTACAGGCGTGTACCACCACACCTGGCTAATTTTTTTTTTTTTTTTTGGTAGAGATGGTGGGGTCTCACTGTGTTGCTCAGGCTAGTCTTGAACTCCTAGCCTCAACTAATCTGTCTGCCTCAACCTCCCAAAGTGCTGCGATTACAGGTAGGACTGCACTCTGCCTAGAATCTAACTTTAGAACATTTTTTATCATCTTCCAAAGAAACCCTTTGCCAATAGCAATCACTCCCCATTCTCCACTCCTGGGCCAAGGCAACCACAAATCTGCTTTGTTTCTTTGTGGATTTGTCTATTCTGGACATTTCATCTAAATGGAGCCATATAATATTTGTCTTTTGAGACTGACTTCTTTCACTGGGCATAATATTTTCCAAGTTTGTCCATATTGTAGCATGTATCAATACTTCACACCTTTCTTTTTTTCTTTTTCTTTTTTGGAGGGGGGATGGAATCTCCCTCTGTCACCCAGGCTGGAGTGCAGTGGTGCAATCTTGGCTGCAACCACTGCCTCTTGGGCTCAAGCGATTCTCCTGCCTTACGAGTTGCTGGGATTACAGGTGCTTGCCACCACGTCTGGCTAATTGTTATATTTTTAGTAGAGACAGAGTTTCGCCATGGTGGCCAGGCTGGTCTCGAATTCCTGACCTCAAGTGATTGCCTGCCTTGGCCTCCCAAAGTGCTGGGATTACAGGTGTGAGCCACCACAACTGGCCAGTACTTCACACCTTTCTATGGCTGAATAATATTCTGTGTTGTGTGGATATACAACATTTTGTTTTTCCATTCATCAGTGGATGGACATTTGGGTGGTTTCCACTTTTTGGCTATTATGAATCATGCTGCTATGTACATTTGTGTACAAGTTTTGTGTGGCCATATGTTTTCATTTCTGCTGGGTACATATCTAGGAGTGGAATTGCTGTGACTCCTGGCCTTTGCACTCTGCCTCCTTGGCTAGAGATCCAGTATCTTCCTTGACAGGCCCAACTATCTCATCCTTCAGGTCTCTTAAAGGAAGCCTCGCTGACTCCCATGGCTGAGTTGGGTCTTCTGTGCCACCCTATCTCCAACCTTTGCACATGTCATATGGCGATGTGATTGCCTGGGTCCTGGTCATGGCCCCCACAGGTGAGCAACTTGAGAGAGACCGTCTGCTTTTGTTCACCACTGTCCATTCCAGTGCCTAGCTCTCCTGCCGCTGGAAAGACAAGAGACAGATTCTGAGCAATCAGGAAAGGCTTCCTGGAGGACGTGGGGCTGGAGTTGGGTTGATAGGTTGGTTTGCCCCAGAGCTGGGCAGAGGGCTTTGATGGCTTCCATGGAAGAAAGGTGAGGAGAGCTTAGAGAAAGGAAGGATGGATGGGTGACAAGCAGGCAGAGAACAAAGCTCAGAGCCCCCGGGCTGTTTAGTCTTGGCCCCTCTAAGGCTGCAAAGTGCCAGTGACTCAGATGTGGAGGGAGGCTCACACGCTGCAGCGTGAGGCTCCCACATTAACCCTCACCTGCCTGGAATCGAAAAGCCACAATGGAAGCACTCGGCACGCGGCGTTAACCCTCAGCTGCCCAGTCCTTGAGCCCCAGGGCCAAGGGCTGTGGACATGGCCTTGAGATCCCCGGGAAGGCCCCGCCCTCCCTCCCCCCAGAATCTGATTACGTTAGGCTCAGCCTTCTGATGCCCGGTGGTGAACTTGCCCAGAGAGCACCTAAACACCGTGGAGCGGCCAGCGGCTTGAGCGCCCATAGACAGACAAGTGTCCTAAGAATTGGTGCCTCTTCTAGGGAAAAGGAGGCCTGGGCTCCAAGACCTTAAAGACTCGCCTAATTTTCCGCACGGATGAGTAGCCCCAGGCCCCGTTCGGATCCGTCTTTATCTCATCGTCTGTGTCAGAGAAATATGTCATGTTTCCAATCTCTGGCGGCAAGAAAATGCCGAGCTCTTTTGCTATTGGAGAAAAAAAAAAGGAAGAAAATACTGCGGCCCTAATCCTGCCCAATACATCCCAGAACCCAGCCTTGGGTGTTGCCCCGAGGGCGCAGCGCCGCTCCCATCCGCGCTGGGGGTCCGAGTGGCCCTGGGGCCCCGCAGGCCCGGGCTGAGGCCACCCCTCTGTTCCCGCGTCAGTGGCCCTGAGCGCACAGCGCTCGGAACTCGGAGGTGCCAGAGACTCCGGCGAAGCAGGCCTGGGGAGGGCGCGAAGCCACGTTGTTCCGATCCTCAGCCACCTGGGTCCCAGCCTGGAACCTTCAGACCCTGGCGTTCGGGCCCCCTCGGTGCCAGACGCCCCGAGTGCCGGGGCGCGCCGGGCGCGGGCTGGGAGCGGCGGACAGCGGGCGGGACAGCGCCCCCGCTCCTCCAGTGGGAGGGCGCGCGCCCCTCCAGGAAGCTCCCGCCTCGCCTCCCGCTTCCCTCCCCACTCCCCGCCTCGGCCGGAGGGAGGAGCCCGAGCCGCCACAGCCGCCGCCGCCGCCCGCTCGGCCCGGGAGGAGAACCGGACCCCGAGCGGCTGGGAGCGCACGCGAGCGGGCCGTGGCCGTGCGGGCAGCGCCCTGAGCCCGTCCCGCGCCCGCGGGCCCGGCCGAGCAGGAGCAGCGCCCGGGGATGCCCGGGCGGCCCGGAGCGCGGGCAGCGGCAGCCGTGCGGTGAGGGCGGTGGCGCCCGTGGGACCCGCGGTGAGTGGGGCCCAGGCAGGTGGGGCAGCTTGGCGCGAGTGCCCAACTTCGGCCTTGGGGCTGGGCTTCTGGATCCAGCGGCGGGTCCGTAGGAAGCCGGGTTCCGCCTCGGGGGGCTGCGGCCGTCTAACCCCCACCGCCCGCGCGAACCCGGACACCGGCGCTTCGGTGACTCAGCTCCGACCCGGCCACGCGGGGGCGCCCCGCCGGCGCCCGGACTGCGGGGGAAGGGCGGGCGGGGTCCCTGGGGAGGGGCGCGCCCTTGAGGGTCCGAGCCCAGCTGCTATGGGGACCCTCCCACCCGCCCCAGGGACTTGGAGGGCGTATGGGAGGTGGAGTCCCGCCGCTGCCACAGCTGCTGAAGGCGTGAGGTCGCGCTGGCTCTTGGCCGGCGCGGGCCGCTCTCCGCGCCCCTCTGTCCTCCTCCCTCCCCTGAACACCCACCCGCAGCCCCAGGCAACTGCCGGAGGGCCAGCTCCCAGCCCCGGTACTGGGAGCGCAGAGGGGGAGTGGAGCTGGGCAGCTTCCCAGAAGTCGGAGTGTGTTTGCAAACTAGTTTTTGCGAAAAAGCTGTCTGGCACCTGTGTGTTTAAAGGGGGCGTGGGGGTGGGCATGGAGAGAGCGGGGGAGCAAGGCCCTCTCTTATTCCCTGTTTCTCGCAGCGATGCTCCTCTGAAAATAGAGGGGTCTTACTCCCCTCTTCCCTGCCCTTCCCACCCCATCCCCCAGCCTCGCTCTCCGTCGCCCCCAGTTAGAGAAGCTCTCCTATGGGGAAGGGGCTGCTTCAAAGGGGGTTGTGATTTGCCCTAGGTCACAGATGCTGCTGGCTCTGGTAGCCAATAGGGGGTTCATCTTGCATCTGAATCCCCTGCCCCATATGTACTGGGGGAAGGGACAAGTGGTCTGAGAGAATGATCTGAGCCGCCTTTTGTTTTGTCTACCTTAGTTTTTTGCTCCCTTAGGGGTGTGTGCTGTCTTCAAAGGGTGGGGGGCTTTTTCTGCCCCTTGGGCATCCACAGCTTCAGGGACTGCAGGGAGCCCGTGCTTTTCAGGAAACAGACGGTGTGGTGTGCGCAGATTGTAATCCCTGGCAGCTGCAGCCTGCCTGTGGCCAGCCCTGATGAGGAGGCCTGGGAGACCTGGGTCTGAACCCCACCTGTGACCAACAGGGAGCTTGGCCCAGACCGTTCGCCCCTGTGGCCCTCCGGGTCATCATCTGTGAAATGGGCTAATGTTCCAGGGCCTGCCTCCTGGAGAATGGACACAGCATGAAGGTGCGGTTTCATGGCATTCCCCCTGGCATATGTCCCGGTGAGCTCCAGGACCGCCCCAGCCAACTGGATTGGAAGGGGTCACCCAGGCAGGTTTCTCCATGGAAAGAACCAGGGACAAAGGATGTGGATGCTTGGGTTCTTCTCGTGGCTGTCACTTCCTGTCTGAGTGCCTTGTCACCCCTTGGACTTGGGGGTTTGTGTCTGTAAAATGAGGCAAATTGTGACATGATCCAGCTTACAGTCGGGCAGCTGGGAGGCTGGAAGTGGGGAACGGGGAGCAGACGTTCTGCAAGTAGGGAGCACTTCATGACTGGCAAGTGTGGTGTCTCTGGTGGTGTTCCAACGGACACTCCCTCCCCTGGGATGTCAGGAGAATGAAAAACTGGGGCATAAGGGGAAGAAGATGGCTGAGAATGGAACCTCGGTTTCTATGTCTGTAAAACAGTAAGTACTGGACCCCATCCGGTCCTCCTCCCAGTCCTCAGTTTCTGTATCTATACACTTTTATATTTTTTTCAGGTAACTGTGTATTTCTGCAAAGGTAGGATTAAATTAGATTGCAAGGACTCGGGTGCCAGCACTTACTGGTACATGGTAAGTGCCTCGTTAACTGTCATTGTCATTATCCATGGGAATATTAAGAAGCCTGATGTGGGTGACTGCATCCAGGATTCTTTGTGGGATTGTCTCAGGCCAATTTGCTCCTCCCCCTCCCATCAGGACTTCTGGGCTGTTCTAGGGGCAGGGGGCTGGGGTGAAAGAGGACCAGGAGAGGTGGTAGTTCTCATCCAGGTGTCCCCATTTCCCCACATCTGACTGGCTTCACAGGGCTCTAAGGAGTGAACAGAAAACAAAAGAGCATTCTCTAGTAATTTTCTCCCTCCTGTCAGAGCAGGAGGCATCATCGCCAGGTACGGTCCCCAATCTGAGAAGCCCTCAGCTCAGGGTCAGGATGCCCCCAGCCTGATGGAGGTCTCTGTCCCTCTCCCCTCCCCTGACCCTTACACATAGACGACACTGGGGCTACTGAATCAGGAGCAAAACACCTCAAGGACCCAGCTCCTTCCCCCTTGCAGAATATGGCCTCAGAGAGGCAGGAACCCTGCAGGACACAGTGGTGTGGGCTCTGTGGGAGCCGGGACGCCAGGTCACCCTGTGATCTTGGCAGGCAGCAGCTAGAAAAGTCCACAATCACATGTCTCCCCACCTCCCTGTCCAGAAGGGAGGACGTGGGGGTCCCATCATACCTGAGGACTGAGCCCAGGTTAGAGGCGCCTCCTGGCTCACATCCTATTGTCTTCTGCCGTCATTGGGCCACCGGACCTCAGCTGTCGCTCCCATGGCAGTCAAGAAGACTGCTATTCCACATCCTGGGACATTTCTTTCTTCCTTTTTTTTTTTTTTTTGAGACAGGATCTTGCTCTGTCACACAGGCTGGAGTGCACTGGCACAATCTCAGCTCACTGTAACTTCCACCTCCCAGGTTCAAGCGATTCTCATGCTTTAGCCTCCCAAGCAACTGGGATCACAGGCGCGTACCCAGCTAATTTTTGTATTTCTAGTAAAGACGGGGTTTTGCTATGTTGGTTAGGCTGGTCTTGAACTCCTGGCCTCAGGTGATCCACCCACCTCAGTCTCCCAAAGTGCTGGGATTATAGGCCTGAGCCACTGTGCTTGACCATGTAACATTTCTTTACTTGTCCTGGCCACACCTGCTCTGAGGTCTGCAATGAGACTGACCGTAGTGAGACTGTGTCACCATCCCTCCTCACTGCTGCATCTCCTGGTTGTATTTTTCTTGGGGCATTTGCCACTCTTCAAAATCATCTTCTTTACTCATTGGTGCACCAGCTTATCCGCCTCGCTCCCCAAAGGGTGTCAGATCCACAAAAAGGCAAGAGCAAACAGTGTCCATCTTGTTTAGGGCGGTGTCCCTGCACTTAGAACAGTGCCTGGCACATGGTAGGTGCTCGGTAAATCCTTGTGTGAGGAATGACTGCACCTGCCCCTCCTTGCAGCCTCCTGTTAAATGAGTCTGTGATGTTGAGTGATGGATCCTGGGAGAATTATGAGCTTGCCCTCTTGAGTCTCTGGAGGGATCCCTGTCTCACCATGCTGAGTGCTGGAAGGAGCATGGCCTTGCTGACAGCTAGATTTCAAACTTGTATCCTACAGAACTGTGAGAGAATCTAAGCCATTCAGTGTGTGGTGCTCAACTAATCCATGGCCAACCAGAGTTTGAAACCCGGTAGCTCAGGTCCCAGCATTCACTGTGCTCTTACAATACACTTTTCTCAGGTTGGGCCACCAGGGGCATGTCTCTGAAAGACTGATGGGAGGGCCAGGTGTGGTGGCTCACACCTGTAATCCCAGCACTTTAGGAGGCCAAGATAGGCAGACCACTTGAGCCCAGGAGTTCAAGACCAGCCTGGGCAACATAGTGAAAACCCATCTTTACAAAAATAAAAAAATAAGCAAAATTAGCTGGGTGTGGTGGTGCATGCCTGTAGTCCCAGCTACTTGGGAGGCTGAGGTGGGAGGATTGCTTGAGCCCAAGAGGTCAAGGCTGCAGTGAGCCATGATTGTGCCACTGTACTCCAACCTGGGTGAAACAATGAGACCCTGTCTCAAAAAAAAAAAAAAAAAAAGACTGTTGGGGTCCAACCAGAGGAGAGAGGGATTGAAGGAGTTGTTTGCTAGGAGCTGGGCATACTCCCTCTGTGTTTTGGAGAGGGGACAGCCAGGGCACATCAGGCAGGCCAGATAGCCTCAGCTCCTGACAAGACACAAAAGCCTGCAGGGATACAGTTGAGTTGCAGGGAGAATGGGCTCCTGAACCACACTAGGAATGTCCCCACCGCAGGGCCTTTGCACATGCTGGGAAATAGGTAGAGGAAACAGCACATGCAAAGGCCCTGTGGTGGGGACATGCCTAGCGTGGTTCAGGAGCCCATTCATTCATTCATTCAGAAATATTCACTGAGTACCTGCTGGGCACCAGCTATGGCTGGGATACAGCCATGAACAAGAGAGACCAATGCCTTGCTCTCCTGGAGCTTCTGATCTATTAACATCCCAGCTCAAATGCGGCCTCCTCCGCACTGCCCCATCACAATCACTTCACCCTGCTTTATTCTCTTTGGGACATTTTCCACTATCTGAGACTTCCTGCCCTTGCCATTTGCTCACCTCTCTGTCCCCTAACTCCATCCTGAACGCCTATGCCCAGAGCCTGAGTGTGTTTTGATCATGGTTGCCCCCACCCAGCATGCAGCAAAGTCCCTGACCCAGAGGAACTGCTTAAGAAACATCTGTTGAACGACCAAATGGATGACTGCATGGTGAGGGAAGCCCTCCTGGAAGGTAGAGGCCCAAAGTCACAGGTGAAAGAGGGATTACATCTGTGCACAACCCTCTTCCGTTTACGAGCTTTTCACTACTGCCTTAAGAACATCATGAAGAAAGTAGTGGGGACAGCTCTAGTTAGCAGCAGCTCCATTTCCTGTATGAAGAAACTGAGGCTAGAGAGGTTAGGACACACGGCCCGGGTCGCATAGGGAATGGGTGACTTTCTCCAGCACACCTCAGTCCCTTGGGTGGACAGGCAATGGCAGCAGGTGATGTCCCACCCAGGGGACCTCACCTCCTCCACCTTCCCAACCCCCAGTCTTTCAGTCCTAGGCAAATCCACTTTCTCTTAGACACACAACTTTCCCCATTCCCTCC